GTGTTGTCAGCACCACGCTCAGCCAGTGAGCGAACTGGCCATCCCTATGTGGGATCCGAACCCGGGGCCTTGGTGTTACCAGCACCGCACTCTACCGAGTGAGCCATGGGCCGGCCCCTAAAGTCATGTTTTTAATTTTAAAACATATCATAGCTAGAATAAAGAGTAACTATGTTTGTGAGCCACTTCCTGATATATGCACTTTATTCCCACATAGAGGTAACCACTCCTCTGAATTATTTATCATGCCTTTCCTTACGGTTTTCCCATATATGATTCATCCCTTAAACAGTATATATAATTTTGCATGGTTTTGAATTTTATGTAACTATAAGGTGTTTTTTTGTTTGTTTGTTGCTACTTATCTTTTTTGCTCAAAGTTATGTCTGTGACATTCATTTGTGTTGGTATGGGTAGCTGTAGATCATTCACTTTTATATAGCATTCCATTACAAGAATAAAACACACTTTATTGGGCCGGCTCGGTGGCGCACTGCTATAGTGCGCTGCTTGGGAAGTGCGGTGGCGCTCCCGCCGAGGGTTCGGATCCCACATGGGGGCAACACTGAGGGTTGCGATCCGTTGCCGGACACGGAAAAAGAAAAAAAAAAAAAAAAAAAACACACTTTATCTATCCCTTGTTGGTGGGCATTTGAGTAGTTTTCAGTTGGGTAGTTTTTCTTCGGGTAGTTTGCTGTCCTTAACAATGCTCTTGTGGACATTTTTGTACCTGTCTCTTGATGCACATTGCTAGAGTTTGCCAAGGACACGTTCCTGGAAATGAAATTCCTGAAGCATCACCAACATCATTAGACAATGCCAATGTGTTTTCAAATTTACACTCTCCCCAGTGTATACAAAGCATTCCCACCACAGAACATGAATATGCTCCATGAGCAGTTTTTCTTGTTCACAGCTAATTCAACTTTGGATGTTGTCTTGAGGTACAATTCTTTCATATGTTGAATCAGTATCATCAAGGTCCAGTAAGGAGAAAAAACCCATAGTAGGTAATTCAATCGAAGAAATTTAGTATAGGGAAATAACTAGTTACAGATGAACATCATCAACATTTGGCGTTTAAAAATTTTTGGTAGGGGATAAAGTGGTATCTCATTGTGGTTTAAAATTGCATTTCCCTGGTTACTAATGAACATATTTCCCTATGTTTATACTTTCACCATTCTTGTACAGGTTATTTGCCTGTTTTCTTTCAGATCCATTCCCTTCCCTTCCCTACTTTGAATCCCAAGGGGCTATGCTGCATTTCCCTGACTCCCTTGCCCTTTGCCTTCAATGGAAGTTCCTTGCAGAAGCTGGGATTTTGGGAGGGGGAGAACCCAGGGTATTTCTTCCCTTTCTGCTTTGGGAGCATGTCAAGCAGTGGCTGTGTCTTTTATGTGGTTCCAGCTCCTGCCTGGAAACCCCACCCTTTGTGCTCCAGTTCCCACCAGGCAACTCCTGTCATGCTTCCAGCTCCTTTTGGCTAGTTCCTTGTCCAAGGTTCTAGCTCTCACAGGTTAGCCATGGCTCCTACACTGATAATGTAA